AAAAAATAAAAATATTTTAATCACTTAATGTTATGATATGGGACTCTTTATTTTTATTATAAGGAAAATTATCATTGGGCCTCTTCGAATCAACATATTTCTCGCAAAATGACTAATTTGAAATATATTTCACATTGAGGATGAATTAAGCATAAAATTTGAAGATACAGACTATAACGTCAATATTTACAATTACAAAAGGTCTAATTTGAATTTAAGTCAAAATTTAGGGAATAGCCATGCAATCAGGCCAAGCAAATATACAAACCTGATAGTATCATAGTAGCCACTTAAGCGCAAAACCCCCGCTGGAGCAGAATCCGCAATTGCTTCTCTCGTCAGTTTTTTATTTTCGCGATTTGTACGTCTGAGGAGTAAGGTCTTTCTTTTTACGAGTGATTTTTCTTTTCTTTTTAAACCTGTTGTGGTGTGAATTTCCTCGAATCATACTCGATCTTGAATGCATTGTGTTTTGTAATAAAGATGTAAATTTTCTCTGACGTTACATATTTTGTTTGATTCTACACCTTGAAACGTGATACGTAAGACGAAATTATGTCATGGGTTGTGAAGAAATTATGTCACTGGTTTTGGAGAAATGTATTCTCGTCTGGAAGGGTACTCAATCCCGGTTACTTCTGCGTTTTAACTGGATGCTATTATGCCTGCTTATTGTTTGGTGAAATGCCTCAATGAACTGTGCGCCCTTAGTAGAACCTAAGTCTGGGGGGGACGTAAGTTATTTTTTTTTTCCCTTTAAAATGGGATCAGAACAAGATTGCATTGATCTAGGTCCTATGAAGAAAATAAGAAGTCATCTTACAATGGAATATGCTTGGTCAAATCAATCAAGTATTCGGTCTTGTTTGTAATTTGAGATATACTTGAGTGACAAGTTTGTTACTCAAATACTCATATCTGAAGAGAAGAACAATTGCGGATAGCAAGAGCGTTATTGATGTTACTAAGAGCCTCAAAAACATGCAGACTCTCAATTTGTTACAAATCTTACAATTTGTGCTAACAATTGTATAAACTTAACAGACCAAACTAATGAAAGGATTAAAAAAAATTATTTTTCATAATTGAAGATGAAAATAGTGTGAAAGATAATTTATGAATTAAAATTATTCACAATTGAAAGTTTAAGAACTAAATTTAGAGTTTAACCTATATATAGTGAGAGCTATCTGACAATTTTTGCATTTTTCATTTATGAACTCCATAAACTTCTAGAGATGGTAAAGAAGGTGATGCCTTAAATTTTTCCATGTTTAGTGTTGATTTATCTATTACCTTAAATCCCAACAAATTCAACTCAATTGGTTTCGGACGGATTGCTAACGCCACTCGTCAAGGAGGGATTTTTTTGCCACCGTCAAAAAGTTTTCTGGGTTGTATGCTGCTGATTTAGGTTGAGAAACTATTATGTCACTGGTCAACAAGTTCAAGGGTTTTTTTTTTGCATGATTTGCCAATTTTATCAGACACATTTGTGTCGTTGTCTGGTTATCTGTAAGTGGCTTAACCCCCTAAGATGACCTCAAACATGTTAACTTGGAGGGTTTTAAGCAAAGTTATCAATACCGTACTGGCATACATACTGGTTTTGTTATTAAGATACATATTGGATATCGAAATTTTTTGTATA